CCCCAAACAATCCAGGCTGTGGCCAACACTATAGGTTGCTCTCTACAAGCCGACAGCAAGGTTCCACTTCTGAAGAGAATGCTTACACAACTCATTGAACATGGAGAAGTCGAGCTGGTGCCTTTATAGAGCCTTCACCTTTATATTCTGGCATCTTTGGTACAGGAAAGTACCAATGAAGTCTATGAAAGAAGAAATGAAACACTGCAGGCTACAAAAGGAGAAATGTAAATGCTAACTCAGGCACAAACCCTTTGGTCTTCAATGGTGTCCTTCCTGGAAGATATGCCAAGGCAATGGAGGCACAAAGCTTGTGTGAATTACCAACCAAGATATGATTTGACTTAAGGCCTACTCCATGAAATTGAACCCAACTTGACATTGCTTGGGTGACTAAGATCCTGAGAGTAGATAGCCCAGAAACCTAGGGTAGAACCAAATAATACTGTTCTACAAACAAACAAAAAAAATGTAACAATAAAATGACTCTTAATGACATTCTGCTACACTCATAGATCAGTTCCTGGCTCAGCCATCCTCAGAGAAGTTTCCTCCTATAGCAGCTGGGAACAAATACAGAGACCCATAGCCAATGTGCAGACAGTGAGAGACCTTGGAACACTCTATTATATTATATTTTATTATGAGTCCTTAGAAGCCTGTTTGTTTTCTAATGAAAGTCAGGAAAGGAGTGGATTTGGATGGGAGGGGACATGGGGAGGAACTAGGAGTAGAAGGATGGTAAGCTGTAATCAGGATATATTATGTGAGATAAAAAATCTATTTTCAATAAAAGGAAAAAAAAACGTTATTTGCATACCAGCACAGTACCCTGATAATGAGGGCCAGACAACTTACCATTGTCCTCCAAGCACAGCCCAGGTGGCTGAGTTAGGTCATCAGTGTCTTCCATAGCATTCATTTCTCTTCTGACCTGTAAAACAAACTATACCAGGTCACAGTGTTCACAGATAGTGATACCTTATACAACCACAAAAGAATGTATCTAAGCAGAAATGTGGGCGTGTCCCAAAAGAACTGTTATTTGTCAAAGGTTAGCTTTATCACTGGCTTCTGCTTTTCATCTCTCTTTGTAGCAATTTTTTTAATGTAAACAGAAGGTTCTAATGCCTTCCCCCTCATTTTTATTTTATGTGTATGAGTGCTTTGCCTATACATATGCCTGTGTGTACACATTAAAAACCATGTGTGGCATAGATACTGCAGTTGGTCTAGCTGTCAGATAAGGAACCAGTCACTCAAGGTCTTAAGGTCTGATCTTTGGTTTGTTTGTTGCACTGGACTTTGACCCCTTTCTGCTTGACTAATCCCTGTACTAGCAGACATGGCCAAGCAGCATTTGCTCAGCCCCCTGCTGTTTTGTCTCTTTTCCATGTCATAGTCTGTGGATTTCTGGCACCTGAGTTGGTCATTGAAATGACAGCGGGGCCCACTTTGAGGTGGCTGCTGTCCTTGGGTTTCATCTCCTTGAGTTCCCTCATCCTCTCTCTAGGCTTCCCCCGTGCTGTCTTCAGCAAATGGAGACCCCTGCAGGACTGTGGTCGCTCTCATTCTGTACATCCTGGCTGTTAACACTGTGACAGTGCCCACAGGGTACTGCATGCAGAGAGACTGGAACCTTTGCTGCAGTGGGGCCTTTGCTGGCGTCGTTCAGCCTGGCTTTAGCAGTTCTCACTCTTTTCCAATCGCAATGTTGGTGGATTCTGCAGGTCGAATGTGGACCTGTCTTGGGGCCTGAACAGCATCTGCAGTGGTTGAGGTCTGTGACATTTCTACTCTCTTCAGTTGGCTCTCCACCGGACCAAAAAATTTGCTTCCTCCAGAACCTTTTGTCCTACAGAGTAAAGCGACTTGCTGGACTGATTCTTCTTAGTGGCCAGGACACATCTCCCTTGGTATCTTTCCTCTTAGTGAAAGCATATTTTTATCTTACACAAGGTATTCTGTTTCCCAAGTCTTCCATGCTATGATCTTCTTGTCTGTGTAGCTGAGCATAGCTTCTGTGAGGCCACCCAGGCTACTGTCCCCTGCAGGTGTGTGTGGGCAGTGCTGAGGGCTGCATTGAGTGGTTGCCAGGTTACGGTGATGCTGGTGGGCAGTTGCAGAAGCTGCGGTTTCTCCCAGGGTGTGATGATGCTAGGATGCTGCCCACTACAGGGGGCTGTTCAGGGCTCTGTGAGGTGTGCTCTGTTCCTACTACCAAAATGTGGTTTTTATTTTTACAATACCTTGTGCTTTTCCTTTGATTTTTCCTTTGCAGGTCTGAAAAAGAAGAACATAGAATCCTTTCAAAGAAAATACAAAAAAAGTCTTTTTCTATTAAGTCTCTGCAGTTGTCATTAATTCCTCCAGATCATGAAGTTTACAGGCTGTTTATAGTCATTTTCTATAAGGCATTTGAATGTAAAAAGAAAATCACCTTGATCTATTTCCAGAAAAAGTAACCACTGCTACCTCCTCCCTTCATGGGCCCTTCACAGTTTTTACCTTCCTTTATTTGGGTTGCTGTCATTTAAACTCCAAGTATCCTTTGCTCTCAGAAGATCAGCAGCCAACTCAGACTCCTCAGACGTCAGTTCAGTAACAAAGTCCCCAGAAGACCATTTTTCATGTCCTCTTTTCTTTTCTTCTTTTATATTCAAGGCCGAACTGCTAATTAAAAAAGATCACAAAAGACAATACAGTCGAATAATTTTATGGACTAAAGTTCTAAAAACAATGTTATAAAATCCCAACTCTTCCTCATGTTGCTTCACTTATTAATTTAAAAGAAGTTATAAAGTAGCAGCTAAAGAAGAGGAAACAGATACTCCTTGCTTAAAGACAGATGCCAAACAGCCTGATGCAGAGCTATATGAAACAGCCAGCCCTGGAAAACCCTGCTCTGAGAACAAGAAAGGGTTTCCAGAGGTCGGGGACTACAGAACAGGCACTCAGCTGGGAAAGATGAGGGAGAAAACCACTTCTAGAATAGAATGTAAATGCAAAGATTAGAACTGGTAGTTCTCCCAGTCTGGAATTGGGGGCATTCGGGGACAAGGTAGAAACCTAGTGCAATGGAAATTCCCTGGAATCTATGAGTGTGACCCTAGTGAAGTCTCCTAGTAATGGGGGATATGGAGCCCGAACTGACCATCTTCTGTAACCATGGAAGGCTTCCAGTGGAGGGACTGGGACATTAACCCAGTCACAAAATCTTTGAACTACAACTTGCAGGAGTTGGCACACAACTTGTAGGAGTGACCAATCGATGACTGGTTCAACTTGAGGCCCATGCCATGAGAGGGAGCCCATGTCTGACTCTGCCAAGGATAGAAGCAAACACAACTGGCATAAAAAAGTCAATGAAATTATTCCTGACAATATTCTGCTATACTCATAGACCAGAGCCTAGCCTAATCATCATCAGAGGCTTCACCCAGCAACCAGTGGGAACAGATGCAGAGACCCATAGACAACATTAGGCGGAACTTGGGGAAACCCAAGGAAGAGGGTGAGGAAGTAACCAGAGGGGTCAAGACACCACAAGAAAATGGCACACAGAAACGACTAACCAGGGCTCATAAAGGGCTCACAGAGACTGAAGCAACAGTCGCAGAACCTATATGGGTCTGCACTAGGTCCTCTGTATATATGTTATGGTCATGTAGTTTGGTGTTGTCATGGGACTCCTAATAGTGGGAGTGGGTGCTGCCTCTGACTCTTTTGCTTGCTTTGGGGACCCTTTTCCTCCCACTGGGTTGCCTTATCCAGCCTTAACATGAGAGGATGTACCTAGACATTTTGTAACTTGTTATGCCATGTTTGGTTGATATCCCCATGAGGCCTGCCCTTTTCTGAAGGGAAATGGAGGAGGAGTGGATCTGAGGGTTAGGGGAGGTTGGGGGAAGGGACTGGGAGGCGAAGGACGAAAGGGAAACCATAGTTGGGATGTAATATATGAATAAATGAAAAAGAAAAAAGAGAACAAAAAAGAGTTATGAATACTTGAAAGGAAAAAAGAGAAGGGAAAAAAGTGAACTAACTGTCAGTTAGGTATTTTCCAGAAGCTTGTGGAACAGAAGTGAGTAACTAAAAATGAATGCCACCACTTGAAAGGAAAAAAAGAGAAGGGAAAAAAGTGAACTAACTGTCAGTTAGGTATTTTTCCAGAAGCTTGTGGAACAGAAGTGAGTAACTAAAAATGAATGCCACAATAACATTGAACACTGCACAGAAAGCCCAATCTCTCAGCCTACAAGCAATGACCCTTGCACATGGGAGAAACAACTAGATTGGGGCTATAACTTTGGTTTTACTTTTTAAACATATGATTAATTTAAGTAACGTTTAAAAATGACACCACAGAGGAGTTGGGGGGGGGGATGGTTCAGAGGTTAAAGCACATGCCAGCAAAGGTGAGGACTGCAGTTCAGATCCCTAGAACTCACAATGTCAGGGGGGCGTGGAAGCCTGCCTGTAATTCCAGCCTCTGAAGTGGAGACAGGGAAGCCCCAGAGAAAGATGTCTTGAAAACTTGCTATATCTATGAGCTCTGGGTTTGACTGGGAGATCTGCCTAAAAATGGATCACCAGTGGAGGATGATTCCTGACACCAATATCTGGCTTCCATACTCATGCACAGACACTTCTAAAAGCACCACCACATATAGGTGCTACAAGTACAAAACATACATACATATACACCCCCCATAAAAATGGAGAAAGAAAAACAAAATAAAACATTTAATGTGAAAAAAGTGAGAAATACCTTGTGTAAAATTTTACTTTTAAAATATTCATATACCAACAGAATGAAAAAAAAACCTTACCAATTATACATCTGATAGAGGGTTAGTATCTAGAATATACAAAGAACTAAAAAACTCTGCATATCAAGAAAATAAACACTCAATTAAAAAATGGGTACAGAACTAAGAAGGGAGTTCTCAAAAGATGAAACACAAGTGGCTGAGAAACACTTTAAAATGTTCAATACTCTAGCCAATCAAAACTACTTTCATCTTACCCCAGTCATAATGACCAGTACCAATAAAACAAATGATAGCAAATGTTGGTGATGATGTTGAGAAAGGGGAACACTTATCCATTGCTGGTCAGAGTGTTAACTTAGACAGCAACTAAGGAAATCTGTGCTTGTTCCTCAAAAAGTTGAAAATCAATCTGTCTCAAGATCCAGCTACACCACTCTTGGCATATTACAAAGGGCTTACATACTACCATAGAGGCACTTGCTCACCCATGTTCATTGCTGCTCTATCCATAATACCCAGAAATTGGATGGAAACAGCTTAAATGCCCAGCAACTGATGAAAATGAAAATGAAAATATGGTGCATTTACACAATGGAATAAAATGAAATTTGCAGGTAAATGGCTAGAATCAGAAACAATTATCCTGAGTGAAGTAGGTCAGGCCTGGTAACTCTTGTTTGTGGACAAGAGCTTTTAAACTTTAGATATGCATTCTTTATTTAGAGTAAGGTTAGGTAGTTTGTAAGGGACCAGGAGGGAGGAAAGAAGCTTCCAAGAAAGGGGAAACAGAAGATGGTATTATAAAGGATAAAGGGGAAACTAGAATAGGAGGGTTAATTAGGGAAGGTGATAGGAGGACAGGGTAAAGGAGGGAATATGGTGAGGGACAGCTAGAGTTAAGGCCTTTTAAAGGCCATATGAAAACCTACTACTGCAAACGATTCCTAATATATATGTGATATATCAATAGATATGACACATACTATATGATATGTCATATATATATGAAAGGAATTTAAATGGAGTTACCATATAATGGGGAGGCAATATCCCAACTAGACATCATATGTTACCAAATAAAATCCCAACACCAGAAATGGGTTACATCTTTTTGAGTCATCGGCCAAAGGGGTCCCATAGATCCCTTCAAGCAACACAGCCTGTGTTACCCTCTACCAACTGGCAGTAAGACCTTATTTCTGACATCACATACTTATGTCATCCAACATGGAGAAATCAGGCTGATGATCAAGTAATAACTTCACCCTTCCTGACTACTATTTTGGCTACTAAGGACAAAAGTAAATTATCAGCTTCACCTAGCTATAAACTCTGCAAGATACAATAGCAACCTGCCTGTAAGATATACCCACTAGTAAAATAGGGGCACAAATGTTATGGGAGTAACCAAACATTTTATTTTATTTTATTTTTAATCACTCACATTTACATATCCATCCATTCCCTCACCCTCCTATCCTCCCATGTTCCCCACCCAACCCACCCCCTGGAGTAACCAAACACTTTAAAAATTTTTGGTTTTAAGAACTACTCTAGGAGATGGAACCCATACCTGACATTGTGTAATGAGGCCAAGAACTAGAGAGGTTCATAGGCTCTAGGGGAAAACTTACTACTTTTATTCTACTAAAGGAACATAGCAATAAAACAACTCTTAATTACATATTTCTAGGCCCATAAATCTGTGCATTTCTCATATGCCAATATATACAACTCAAAATAATATATGATAATTTTATTTGAAAAGAAAATGATTTAACACATTATGTGTATTTTTAGCTTAATACTTAGACCTATTATAAACTACCAAATATATCATCACCCCACTATATTCCTTTATTTTCTGTGTATGAGTATTTTGTCTACAGGTATATGCTAGCAAATCAAATAGCTTTCTTCCATAGCTCCGGTGTTCCAAGTAGCTGGACAAAAATAGCTTAAGATAGACCATAAAATAGATGCTTTAGATACACTTTAATTGTCAAGTAATCCATACACTACAGATCTAAACTCATTTTGCATGCACATCCGTGCGTGCGTGCGTGCGTGCGTGCGTGCGTGCGTGCGTGTGTGTGTGTGTGTATGTGTGTGTGTGTGTGTGTGTGTGTGTGTGATAGTGAGTGTCTTTCCACTATTTGGGGCCCAGACATTGAAAGGTCTTGGTTACAAGCATCTCTGTCCTCTTTCTGGCCCCTTAAGGTGTGCTTGAGTGTATTTACCACTCACATTTTCCTGTTCCAGAAAACAACCCCTACAAGTCAAATTGTTAATCTGGGTGTGGTGGTTCACACCTGTAATCACAGCACTTGGCAGGCTAATGCAGAAGAATCTCTACAACTTAGAAGCCGATGTAAGCTACAGATAATGTGGGCCCCATCTCATTTTTTTTTAAAAAGTGGAGTTTTAAGGTTAAAAATATGATACATAGGAAGTTTTGAATGAGTATTACCTTTAAAAATTATTTATCCACTTCATTTAGAGACAGGGGTAATTACCTTTTTAATACATCTTCTAATTTTATTTATTATTTTATACAAAATACTTACCAATATGATCAGAAACATTATATGATTATTTATTTATGTTTTGATAATCATCTAATGCCTAGAAATCTCAAGTAGAAGCAAAATTTGTTAACCCCATATATTAACCCAAGTTGGAATTTCTTTTTTCGAGACAGGGTTTCTCTGTGTAGCTTTCTAGACCAGACTGGCCTCAAACTCACAGAGATCCACCTGCCTCTACCTCCCCAATGCCGGGATTAAAGGTGTGCGCCACCAATGTTCGGCCTAAATTAGTATTTTATAGAACAAAACAATGGCCTCTTGTGAAATATCACCACATTCTTACCCATCCTGCTCTTTGTTGTCTGTACTAGGAATCTGCTGTGAGCCAGGCTTCCCATTCTTCCTTGTTAGAAGTGATTCCCCGTCACCATGGTCAAAAGCAGTGGCACACAGGTTCTCTGATGCTCCCCCTTCATTCATCCCCTGCTTCCTTTCTTCTTCAACCTTTAATCAACGTTTGAGACAGGGATAACTGCTAACTTTTCAACATCAACATTGGTTGTCTTATTGGATTTTTATCACCCAACTCTTAGTTTCAAGTAGTGGACTAGAAGTGCTGAGAACAGGATTGTGGAAAACGAGGTACCTCTCAAACAATTGAAGCAATGATCTGCACCAGCCTTCCCACCCTCTCTGAATAAGAGGGCCCGCAAGAAAGCTTCAGTGCTCTGAGGGGGCATTACCTGCTTTGTATGTAAGTGAGTAGTTTTTTTTTTTTTAAATTCAACTTTTGGTTTTATTACCTTTTCTTCAACTGTTAGTCTAGGCAGGTGACCAACTTTCCAAGACTTAACTGTAACACCTCCACCCTGGGCAGCTATCCATCATACCATCCTTTCTGTTTTCTCCACAATTTCACCTTCAAAAAAGATTTTACTTTTACATTATTCATTTAACAACTGCCAATTAGTCTCCTCTCAGCAAGGGGCAGGTTCCATGTGGCTTGCCTACTCTTGTTTACTGGCCCCAGAACATGGCATATATGAGTGCTTTGAATTATTTGATTAATTGGTAAGATCCTGTAAGCTGGTTCATGCAGGTTCAGTGTTAAAGAAGATATGAGGGGAAGAGATCAACCTTAACTGGAGGGGAGGTGGTTCAAAGACATTACCTGGGTAAATGCCAAAGCTTTTAAAACAAAATATGGAAGAGCCAGGAACAGACATGCTTATGCGGATTGGAATCAAAGGTTTGTTTCATTCTGCATGTGAAATATCTCAGCAGAGGGGCTGAGACAGGGCTGGATCGTTAAGAGCACTTGCAGAGGGAGCAGGCTTGGTTCCTAGCACTGGCAGGGCAGGTCACAAGTTCTATAACTTCACCTCCGGGGATCTGATGCCCTCTTCAGGCCTCTGAGGGCACTGAATCTAATGGTTTATCTTACAAAGCAGGCAAACCTGGCATTGGTTTTTTCACTCCTCCTGGAACCATTGTTTTCAATGCCTTTCCACCTGTTCTGGCACATTCTGCAAAGATGCTTTGATCCCAAGTTTAGTTAGTCCCTATGGAAATAATGGCACACATTTTCTGCATATTTCAGTTTTACTGCTGAGTAGGTCCTAAATATAGTTAGGTATCAGAAGTTAAATTATATCTCAACCATTATAGCCATCTGTTTGGGTCCAGGCGTCAGCCAGAAATCAGCAGGAATGCCAACATCCTGCTTATGATTGGGTGTAGGACTATCTTTTGCATTCATATCTAAACAATTGACCCAGAGTTCCTTAGCACTGATCTCACACAAGGTCTTCATATAGCTGGGATAAAACACCATTTTCTTGGAGCATCCCTGCTCATCTCTTCCAATTCTTCTTTTGCATCCCTCTTAGCTCTGGAAGGAGGTCCTTCACTGCATCTGCTCTTTCACTGCCGTGCTTTTGCTGGAAAAATGGACATTAGTTGTGTCCCCTCCCTGCAGGATAAGCTGAAGTTGAAGTTTAGCTTTTCTGTCTGGACTGATTTTCTGGCATTTAATATCTGTATATGTAAGGCTAACTGCAAATCTATCTTTGCAGTAAGCTGCTCAAGCAATTCTCCATGCCATGGGGCACAGAGCTCTACCCTTCCTCTTCTGACATACCTTTACAGTCAGCACTGCTTCTTCAGATGAAGTTTCTATGGTGGCTGTACAATGCAGCATACTTTATGTCCTAACTTTAAAAAGGTTTATTTCTTATTATTTTAAAATTTTGTATAGATGTGTGTCTGTGTGTGGAGATGTGCACTTGAGTACAGATGCTAAAACCCAAGAGAGGGCATGAAATCCCAGGAGCTAGAGTTACAGATGGTTGTGAGCTGCCCAGTGTGGATGCTGAGAGCCAAACTGCCGTGGGTCCTCTCGAAGAGCAGTATGCACTTGTAAGTACTTAGCCAGGTCTCCATACCCAACCTAATGTTTTTGATATCAAAATGTATGATACAATTCAACAAGTTTGGATCAGATAAATTACCTGTATTGTTATTGAATTAATCAGAGAAACTTAGAAAGTATGACTTTTACAAAGTTATTTAATGCCTCTCTGGATAAGAAGCATCACCTACCATTACTTATCTCTTGATTTGTGTTTATCTTTACAAACCAATGTATCCCAGCACTTCAGTGTCCTCTTTTGGAATGAAACGCCAAGTGTTTGCTTAGGGAACATTGGAGTTATGTGAGAAGCCTGCATTCCAGGATTCTCCAAACTTTATCAAACATAATAAAATTGGAGAAGACAGCATTAGCTATCAGTGCAAGTGAGAGTCATCACACACCTGATGCTGCTTTTCTTCATTTCTGGCAAGCCCTTTGTGCTTTTCCTCCGAAGTCAATTCTAAGCCTGGCTCTGCTGAAAAACACGTGTGTATATTAAAATTAGGAAACTCTGTCTCGAAAAACCAAAAAAAAAAAAAACAGTTAAGGCAATAGGTAATATCAAATTGATAGAAATTAATAACTGGTAAACAATGTTTTTCTTTTAGTTTTCCAAATTAATAATTTTTAGCTGAATGTTACTTCTGTAGGAAATGTTCCTTATTATCCAAAAATTGGGAAATAATCATAACTGCCCAAATTTTAACAGTTTTGGAGATATACTAGATGTCACAAACTCTCTACATGAAGAAACTTAACCTCAAAAAACATTAAAAATGTGATAAAAAAGACATTACATCTTGTCTACTTTGTGACGATATAGCCCAGGCCGACTGCCCATCACAATGATTTCCAACACTCCTGTTCCCTTCACACATTTACTAGTGAACAAACTCCCTCTTCTTAGATCTGAAATTTTTCTCTAGTATTCAAAAATTTCTTTACTTTTAAATTCAGCATGAAATATAAAGCTACACTAAATATGGTTCTTTCTTTGGTGACCTAGTTACTTTTCTATTGCTGCAATAAATCTCCAAAGCAACTTGGGGAAGGAAGGGTTTATTTTATCTCACAGTTCACAGTCCATTTTTATTGAGGAAGTCCAGATAGAAACTCAAGGCAGGGACCTACAGGCTGGAGCTGATGCAGATGACACGGAGGATGCTACTTACTGGCTTACCTCCCTCCTTGCCATGCCCATCCTTCTCAACTGCTTTCTTATAGAACCCAGGACAACTGCTCAGGAGTGGTACCACCAACAGTGGCTCTCCTACATCAATTGTTAATCAAGAAAATGCCCTGTAGGCTTGCCTACAGACCTGTCTGGTGGAGGCATTTTCTCAGTGGAGGTTCCCTACTTGTAGATGACTCTAGCTGTGTTGAGTTGACAAAAATCCAATGAGCACATCTAGTTAGAGTTGCTTCTTTCTTTGCGGTTTCTTATCAGTTCTTCATGAATTGGAGGGCATAGTAGGTCATCTTCGTATAAGATTATTGTACTCAATAACTATTGAGTTCCTGTGAGTTGCTAGGTATGGCAACTTAAAGTGATTCCAGTTCAGAGTGATGGGCGGCTTTCCCAGAGTCTGACCTGAGCTGAGGTTGGTAAGTAGAGTGGGTAAGGCAGAGAGAGGGCAGATGAGGGCCAGGAGCCTGGCAGGCAGCAGCAAAGAAGTGCTACACTGTCTGAAACCCAGAAATTGCTGAAATGAACACCATCAGCACATTAGGAATGCCAGGAACCAGAGATGGGAAGCTAGGGGGAGACAGCTATGGAAGCTCATATGTCACTGTCAGCCTGTGGACATTAACATTTTAAAGAGCAGCTATGATAATGCTGGAGTTAGAGACAGATCACCTAAATGCCCTTGAGTGAGGATGTGAGTAAATGCTGTGGGGCACATGAGTCAGTGGAGGATGAGAAAGGGAGCAGCAGAAAAGAAGATGACACAGACATGGACTGATGGAAGTTTCCAGAGGCAATCAGGATATAAAATTATCACTGTCCAGTAGAGAATGAAAATGTACCAGCTTGATCACGAGGAATCTGGACTCTGGAGAAAAAGGATCTGCAAATTACCTTAGACGAGATGAGATGGAAGTGTACTAACTAAGCTGGCAGAGGCTTGGGTGTGCTTCCTAACTCTTCTTTTTCATATGCTCATGACTGAAGGAATTTAGGGGTTTTTGTTTTTGTTTTCTATTTTGTTTTTTGAGACAGGGTTTCTCTGTGGCTTTGGAATCTGTCCTGGCACTAGCTCTTGTAGACTAGGCTGGTCTTGAACTCACAGAGATTCACTTGCTTCTGCCTCCCCAGTGCTGGGATTAAAGGCGTGCACCACCACCATGTTCTAAGATCTACCGAGTTAATTCTGTGGACCATGTGGCTGGGGCTGTGCCCCAGAGCTATAACATGGGCTTAACATTTGTCAGTCTCATGTTTATTTCCAAGCATTAAGAAAAAAGAAAATGTAAAAGCAAATGAGTTACTTTTATACTCAAGTATCTAGGCTTGTAGCTTCTACTGATTGCTCTAAAGAGTAAATATGTCTAAAATATGACATGTATAGGAAAAACGTCCTATTTTTATTATGGGGGAAGGTTTATTATATATGACTATGACTGATTGTCTAAAGGCCCTGGATTAATTTCTGCATGAAGTAGAACACATGTTAGTGCACTGCATCAATGAAGTGTGTGGTGAGATATTGTTTATGATCTAATAAAGCTTGCCTGAGGATCAGAAAGGCAAAGCAGCCAGCCAGTAGAAACTGAATCTCACATGAGACCCTTTGCTTCTTCCTTATATACCTCTCAGTGCTGGGATTAAAGGTGTGAACTCTATTTCTCTTATAGACTGATTCACTCTCATGTAGCCCCGGGTGGTCTTGAACTCACAGAGATCCATCTGCCTCTGTCTCCTGAGTTCTGGGATTAAAGGTGTGCGCCAATATGGCTTGACCTCTATGTCTGAGACTAGCTTTGTATTCTGATCTTTAGGCAAGCTTTATTAGATTATAAACAATATATCACTACAGAAGTAAGTGGTGTGTGTGTGTGTGTGTGTGTGTGTGTGTGTGTGTGTGTTTGTACAGTTCCTGGTATTGTTTCCATTTCTAACTCCCTAGTGAACATCTTGCCTCAGCCTACCAAATATCTGGAAAAAAATAGCTGGTGTGTATGATCCTCCTTGGTTTTCTAGGAAGCATGTCTACATTTCAAAGAAACTCAGTTTCATAACTAATCTTCCCAACTCCTTATAAACATAAGAACTCCAAATTGAAAACACCAAGAGACTAGAGCATGGAAGTTGAAACAGAAACAATCTTATTTTACATATCAATCCCAGTTCCCTCTCTCTCCCATCCTCCCATGCCCCCCACTGACTCCCCCATCCCACCCCACATCCACTCCTAAGGGAAAGTGAGGCCTTTCATGGGGGGACCATCAAAGTCTGTCACATCATTTGGGGCAGGGCCTAGGCTGAGAGAGTATCCCTCCATGGGGGAAATGGGTTCCCGAAGTCCATTAATGCACCAGGGATAAAGACTGGTTCCACTGCCAGAGGCCCCATAGACTGCTCAGGCCTCCTAACTGACACCCACATTCAGGGGGCCTGGTTTGGTCCTATGAAAATCTTACATTCTAAAAACATTTTTTCTTGTGTTTGTAAAGGCCCACTTCAAACATAGGTGCCAAAAAGGACATTTGAAACATTTATGTCAAATCCTTCCACTCCATTTGTGAGAAAAAAGAATTAGAAACAAGAAGAGAGATTTTCCATAAATTTAATAAATTTCTCTGCAAAGTATTTTTTATTTCAAAGGTTACCTGATGTAAATGCCTGTGTATCCTCCACTCCTTTCATTTGTTCAGGAACAGAATCTTTCCTTTTTCTGTTAGGCTGGAAGAGATTTGAAACAAGATGGTTAATACATATTACATATAATGTGATACACATACTTAATAATTCAAGATAAAAGGTAAGTGTTATTACCAGCCAATGAAGATATTTCTCTGGATTTTCTAAAATGCAAAGGGAGACATACAATCAATTATACTTAAATACAACAAAGCCAGCCATACATCTGTGCATTCTTATGACAGAAATATATATATATATACACACTCCTTTGGGAAGGACTATTTTAGGTTTTGATCTCTTGCAAATTTGCAGAGAACATGATATATATTGTAAGGAAAAAGAAATAGGAAAGTAGGTTCAACAAAAATGTGCAGGTGACATTTCACAAGTGAGATTATGTTTCCAGTAAGCACAGCCAAGAGGAGTGGGTCCATAAACCAGTGTGGCAATGGTGACTGATGAAGAGTAGTGATTTTTAATGAGAACAAACAGTGACCTTCAGACAAGAAATGCCAAAGATGATGGTGGGATATTATGGTATGGATCTCTAATGCATCACATACAGATCATGAATCAGAGTATAGCACATATCATATTCTTTTATTTCCTGTAATCTAGAGGGCCAGAGCTTTCTATCACTTCAGGGTAAGGTAGATTTCATTTCGGATGGAAGAATGGTTTCTGAATTGTTTCCTTTCTTCATGTCCATATTTACCATCGAGTCTGCACAAAATCCCTTGATTTCCCCATGCGAGACAGGGTTAAACCACAAGTAAGAAATAACACATAATGTTTTAAACACTGAAATAAAGTGGGAAAATTACACTAATTTCCCCCACATGTATTAATAAGCTTTTATACTTTATAATCAGTGCAATATTTAATAAAAGTAACAAGAAGAGTATCAAAAGAATAACTTCTTAATGTCTTTTATATCTGAAATTACTATGGTTTAATATGCCATGAAACCATTTAAAGGATTTTTTAATTAATCAAATTTGTCCTTTGATGATTTCACACATTTACATAATGAGTTCTTGACAACACAAAATCTACCTCCTTTCATCTGCAGGAAATACCCCTATGGCTAGACAATGTTGTTTATAAAGGAATTTTTTATGAAGCAAATATCTTAATGAAAATAAATAGTCTCTTAAAAGACAAGTCCAGCTGGGCGTTGGTGGCGCACAGCTTTAATCCTAGCACTCAGGAGGCAGAGGCAGGTGGGTCTCTGTGAGTTTGAGGCCAGCCTGGTCTCCAGAGCGAGCGCCAGGATAGGCTCCAAAGCTACACAGAGAAACCCTGTCTCGAAAAACCAAAAAAAAAAAAAAAAAAAAAAAAAGATCAGTCCAATGCTTGAGCATTCAGATGAAATTTTGTAAATAATAAACATCAGTGAATCTCTAGCTTTGAAGACTGATATCTGTGATAAGAAAAACGAGTGGCTGAGAACATGCCCCAGTCAACAGCACTCCTTCCTGATTCCAACATTCTCTGGAGCTGTTATCATACTGAATCCATCTCACATTGTCTCAACTCCCTCATCACCTCTTCCCCCAAAGCACCCAGACAACATGGTTCCCCTGAAAACTTCTCCATGTTAAACAGTCTTCTACATCTGTGAACTTGTTTCCAAATACATTACAAGGGCATTATTATCACCACTTCTTGTCTACTGAGCAGTAGATTTTAGAATTATAACATTGATCTACTATCTTATGAACCTATATATATATATATATATATATTGTCTATCAGGAATGGAATTGTATGTCATAACTTATGCTACATGTATTTGCTTCTTTCTTCCCACTTAGCCCCTGTACACTGGGCTTTTTTATTCTCCATTCCCACTTTTCATATCTCAATTCCTTCCACTCCTCTGGTCTTAGAATCTTGTGGGGGGCCCCCTCAATTGAACCCATTGATAAAACCAGAGAAGACATATGACTTATTATCATCTCATTTCTCCATTTACTTTCTGTGCATTCAATAGGACACAGCCCTGGGTTATTAGCATACGCCTGTGGTCATGTTTAAATAAACATTGTTAGGTCAAATGACAGTTTTAACTACACAGTTCTTACCTACTGCTTGGCCATTTACTTGTAACATTCCATCAACACCAATTCGAATAAGTGGAAGACTCTCAGAGACACTCTGTAACAATTAACCCCAAGAATGAGTTGCATAAAGCACTTCCTGAACAGATAAATACTGTTTCAAAAGGTATTTAAGATAAAAACAAGACAAACATACATTGAAAATAAAGTCTTTTTGTGGACAATATTAATGCTCTTTAGTCCAGCTGGTCTTTTATCTTCAATTGCTCCGGACTGCCATCAACACATTTACATATGAAATACTAGAGGGTGTGCAGCCTGCCCCAGGGGCTAACTTCAGTGATTGCAACTCTATCTCTATTCCCCAATTTATCTCCTCAAAGCAGAGAGGACATATTCTTTTTTTTCCTCTCTCCAAAACAGGGTTTCTCTGTGTAGTCTTGGCTGTCCTGGTTCTAGCTCTATAGATAAGGCTGGCCTTGAACTCAGAAATCCGCCTGTCTCTGCCTCCCAAGGGTTAGCATTAAAGGTATGTGTTGCCACCACCTGGACAGAGGACATATTCTTTTTTTTTCTAGATCAAGATATAATTTAATTATCCAAAAATTAAATTTCCACAGATTACATAGTAGTATCTTTAAGTTTCAAAAACCTAAGATATTTACCTTTTAAAAAATCATTGATTTTTTTATTCAATTTTTAATTTATTTTATATACTAACCACATTTTCCCTTCCCTCCTCTCCTCCCATTCCTTCCCCCCACCTCCATTCTACACCCCTATCTTCTCCTCTTTCTAGCTAGCTCATGCACCTGGTCCCACTGCTAGGGGCCCCACAAAAGACTAAGCTACATAGCTGTAACCCAGATGCAGGGGGCCTAGGTTGTTACCATGCTGGTTCCCTAGCTGTCTGTCCAGAGTCCATGAGCTCCCACAAGCTCAGGTCAGTTATCAGAGGATATATTCTTAAAAATACACTTGCTACAGTATAGCTTGAAACTCTAAAATCTTCCCACACAATTTATCTCCATGCTAAGTCTCTTGACATGATGCTTTGGAGTGTGTCATGGGCACAAACAGAACATTGTGAAAGTTCCTTCACTTAAGTAGATAAGAACTTTCAAGATATGTGTAGGAAAATTATTCGATAAACATATCAAATTAGTATAAAATGACTTATTTTTGTTTTATTTAAATACATACAAGTGTTAAATATATTAGTCAATTTTATCTCAATTGAAATATGATAATTAAAAAATGTCAAGGCTTACTTAAAAAGAAGTTCAAGAATACTTGTGCATTTTCTCTTCTACACATTACAAGGCAAAAAATGATTGTGATAATGCTACTGTAACTGGTAATTCAGGTTATTCAAGGCATAATGATGAATAGATGGGATACATTGTTCTGTCTAGAACATTCTCCTTGAATGTAGAGTTTCCCAAGACTGACTCCTTTATCCTTAGAAAGATATTCTCTGACTGCAGATTTTTTTATTCCCATCCCATTCTAAATACAAAGCCCCTCAATAGTCTCTAACCCAAATTATCCATTTTCCATATAAAAGCTTTTATTAATGACTTTATTTATGTACTTACTTGTTTTATTTTGCTAGAGGTGGGACCAGTTACTCACAAATGCCAATGAAGTACTCTACCAATGAGACACACCACCAGCCCATGGCTTGTAGATGTTTGTTGTTACCTTGATTTTCTGCTCAATCTGAGCATAATTCTTCCAGGGCATTTTCACTATCTACCTGCCAAGCACACAGTGGTCACACAATGGCAGAAAATTCTTCAATTTAAAAATATTTACACATTATAAGAAAGGATTCACATTGGGCTGGAGAGATGGCTCAGAGGTTAAGAGCACTGACTGCTCTTCCAGAGTTCCTGAGTTCAATTCTCGGCAACCACATGGTGGCTGACAACCATCCGTTATGAGATCTGGTGCCCTCTGCTGGTGTGCAGATGTACATGGAAGCAGAATGTTGTATACGTAATAAATAAAATCTTTAAAAAAGAAAGGATTCACACACCAATGTACTCTACTCCAAGTGGATATCTTCTCTAATAGTTTATCCAAATTTGAAGTCCAGATGTGCCTTTCAACGTTCCATGTCTTGTTTTGATATTACTCTCATTTTATTAGACAGTCATCACTATTTCTGAAGTTGCAACTATAACTGAAGTCATCTTGCTTTATATTTAAAAATGAATTGAGGTAAATTTTTTTCTATAATTGTTCCTCACATAAATCCAAAGCAAGATATTGTACCATCTTTGTGGAATAATGAGGGCAATGACATTTCAATGGGATAAATTTAAGAATGCAGAGCTACTAAAAGACAGAACTAAAGCATAACATGTTTGACTTTAAACACTGTGCTAATACTTCAATGCAGATGACAAACCATTGTGTAATCTAGGTCACTACAAATACAGCTGCCACCAACACACTCAAGAAAGTCCACTTTTAAAACTGCTCACTAATTTATTCAGGCATATAAGACAGTTAATTTATCATCATCATTAGCATCATGCTCCATTGTATTTATGATCCCTTGCTTTTTCTTCTTCTAAAACACTTCTCATATGCACATAACCCAAAACATCAATCACTTCAGGGCCAAATATCATCCTATCAAGTTCCAAGTTGTAAAATCTTAAGGTCCTGTTGCTAAACCTCCATTCATTGGGGAGATGCAAGCATCTACTCCCGGTATAGTTCCAATGAGAAACCAAGGTGTAATTCTCCTAAGGTTCACTCTGGGGAACAATGAGTTGATTAGGCTTAATTACAGAGACACAGTTGAGAGGTTATGGGCAGAAGCATGGGTAACTTTAGAGCAGCGACACTGGAAGGTCTATACCTATGAGGGATGATGGCTCCCCTCATGGCTGTGCAGATGGAGTCCCCTGCCCTAATCCACCCTAGCCAATATCATCTAACCCCTCCCAGAGACCCTGAAGCCACACGAAATTAGGGCAGAATTGCATACAACTGGTTGGGAGGGGTGGCTGAATACACAGGCAAAGGTTCCATGACCCTCCCCACCTCCTCCTTCTAAGAAGGGATGATGACATTTAACAGTGCCAGCTGTGATGCTCATCTGGTAGCAGGCTCAGCAGAACTCCTGGTGATGGCAGTTTTGCTTGGAGGATAGTTCTGTACAACAGGTCTAAATTTTTTCCCTGAATATTAGGACTTTCACACATGGATATGTCCAACAGAATCATTCAATCATGGTACACCTGGTGTATGCCTTCAATTCTAACACACACTTCAGAGCCAATCAGAGTCCCTCACATTCACAGCCTGGGCATTTGTTCTATACTGCACAGCCTTCATTACATGAATCCCATGAACTATCAGACTTGTTCTGCCCTGTGTTAATGTACTACCAAATGTCGTGGTAAATGCCAGGTGAAAATGTGGGGGATAGTTTCTGGTAAGAATGGCAGAAGTGAGGAAGTCAAACACCCCCCTCAGTGTTAACTTACCTTAGTAGGCATTAAAAAGTAATAACAGAAATAGATGATACCTCAGAATCCCAAGATGATTCATCTTCATCCACTTTTTCTGTGGCTAATGTGCATGTCATATCTGTAAAAGGTAGATAAACATATGATATAGAACATGTGTTGTTATGAATCGGAAACATGCATATTCTTAAACCATTATTTCTGTGAAATGGCAGCCATAAAAAATAATTTCAGAGACTTTTGATGGTCATCAAAATAAATGAGGACCAAAAAAAAACTATTAAATGGGAATGGGTGTCATTCGAAGCTACACACATTAGTCCTTTTATACTTGTCCTATTTTTCCCCTTTACAGTTTTGATACTGCATCCCACCATGTCCCCCAGGATGTCCCAGGGCATATAATCTTCTGACTCAGCCTTTTCATTTCTGAGATCACATGTATTTGGTCAGCCAACTTGGGTTATCTTAAAATTGCATTGAATCTTAGAAATTCTTCATAGATATTGATGAGTTCCATTTGTTGTTTCTATCTCCTTCCCCATTATATGACAAAGTGTGAGTTATGCTTTTATGAAGCACTACCTTGCTCTTCTTTGCTAATCCTTGGCTCAGTTGCACCTTCCTATTAAAAGCAAAAGGAGAAAGGACATCATGAAATGTATTCACTCACTAACATAAATCCATTGTTAAAGCCACAGCTATTTTCCGTTTTAATCAAACCTTAGGCATATCCCAATGAAGCTGAGAATAGAGGTCAGATTCTGCTCTCTATTCAAGCTGAAGTAGAGTTATGTCAAAAAATGAGAACAGAAATGAATCATCAATTATTCCTACAATTGAAATGATTATAAGGGTACATGGAAGGGAAGAGTCAGTTCTCCCTGCAAAGAGGAGGGAATGCTACAAACAAAAGAGTGGTGTATCAGAGTCACAGGAAGTACAGGGAACTGTGAAGGTCATTCTAGGCCAGGCAGCATGAGCCCAAGTGAAATTAGGGCTGGGAAAATTCCATGCGTAAAGTAAACCATGATTACTGGTATAGGATGGGCAGTTGACAGATAATCATGACCAAACTAGGAAAGACATTTTCTTTGAGAAAGGGTCTCACGGTGTAGTCCCTCTGACCTGGAACTTTCTATGTAGATCAGGCTGGCCTCAAAACTCCTCACAAGATCTGCCTGCCTCTGCCTCCTATATACACAATAAGAAACTAGTTCTGTAAACTGAGCATTGGGGTCTGCTAGCATGAACTATGAATACAAGATTCTGGAGTGTTGACTTATCGGAATCCCATCCAGTGGCCACTGCTCATAACCATGCAACCATAATAACTGTTCATATATATATATATATTTATCTCACCTTTGTCCTCTGTGTGGAAGTTACACAAATGTTCTCAGAGAAACAACAAAGCTTAGCTGTAAGTAGAATCTGGGACATATTTAAGTTTTAAAACGGGTGCCTCATGCTCCAGGGGATAGCATCCCATTCATGCTCATAAAGACAAAAAGTCCTGGTTAAATTCAGTGTGACACAAACAAAATGAAAACAAAAGAAATGTTAGTGGAAGGGGAACTTGTTGGGAGGGGGAGTTTGGTGGTGGTAAGAAAGGGATAAGGGGGTGGAGCAAGTATGACCAGAATGTATAATATACATGTATGGAACTGTAAAAAGAATAAATTAATAGTAATACAAATACTAGAAATGAAATTATGGTTATTAGGAAAAATATTTCCATTTGGTCTATGCTAACTTAAAAAATGAAAAGAAACAGCTTTAATGAGAAATAGAAATAGGAACTCTCACAGACCTGATGCTGGTCATTTCCTCTGCCATCGAGAAGAGGTTCTTCCACTGGTGTCACCCCTCCAGCTGGCTCTGCTGACAAATGCATGTATAATGAGAGTATGTTACCTAGAACTCTTCCATAAGGAAATGAGACATTAAGACATGGAAAACAATAAACAAAGAAAAAAGTTTCCTTTTTCTCTTTGCAAGTGGAAATGTTTAATTTAATACTAATTCAAACTAAATACATTTAAAGAAAAATACTTCTAATTGTCCAAATGTTTCATAATCCATTTGGAGACACACTGGATAGCATTCAGCATCAAGCACATTCTTCCACGGGTAAGATGGCAAATTAGAAGTGACCTCGTGGAAGTAGAAGCAGACACCCACAACTAATCACTGAACTGAACTGGAATCCAGTTGCAGAAAAGGAGAAGTGATGAGCAAAGGTGTCTAGCCCAGACTGGTGAAACCCACAGAAACAGCTGACCTGAACATCGGGGAACTCTTGCTCCCCAGACTGATAGCTGGGATACCATCATGGGACTGATCCAGACCCCAGGAACACGGGTTTCAGTGAGGAAACCTTGGAAATCTATGGGACCTCCTGTAGTAGCTTAGTACTTATCCCTAGCATATGTGTGGACTTTGGGAGCACATTCCACATAGAGGGATACTCCCTGAGCCAAGACACATGCGGTGGGGCTAGGACCTATCCCAAAGGATATGATAGACTCTGATGACACCCTATGGAAGGGGGCACCATCCAGGGAGAGCAGAAAGGATATGTGATAAGTAGGGTTTTAGTTGTGGGGGGGAGTGGTAGGGGAGGAGGGGC